CCAAGTTAAAACGATAATGATTAAAAGAGAATTACAGGGAAGGCAGTTATGAATAGCATAGAGTGTGAGTTGGATCATATTTCCTTTGCCATACATACTCATCTGATCCAGCACCCAGGAAACAGTCTTCAGACTGAAGCATTTGAAATCTGTGAGCTCTTTTTTTATAATATGTGCTTCTCCCTCAGTGGAATCCCTACAGCTGTCCTTTAGGAGTCCACTACAGTTTAAACTCTGGAGGCTGAAGTAAAAAGTTTGCAGTTTGTTTTTGCAGTTTGTTTTTGCAGTTTGTTTTCAGCTTCAATGCTGGAATGTTCCCAGTTTTTAATATGACTGAAAAGTACTATAACTCATTATTAGAAACAAATGATCTGATAAATAATAAATATGGAGCATAACAAAATCAGGGACTTTAAAAAAAAATATAAACCAAATAAGTGCTTGACTTGCATAATGTGTTCACCTGATATGTGTACAAAAAAACAAAAAAGTCCTCCTGATTTAACACTGATTCTAACTTAAATTTATATGAAAACAGAGAAACATCCATCCAATATGATAACAGCTTTTGAAAAGTGGATCTGTTACAAATTGTGCATTATTTCAAATCATACAGCACTGGAAAAGTTTTATAAAGTTTGTAGGATCAAATAATAATGATTTGATAATGACAAAATGTGTATGAATTCCCTTAAGGCCGCAGTAAAAAAGAGTTTACATTTAACCTGCAGCTTAGGTAATTGGTATTTTTACTCATACTCATCAACTAATAAGTGATAGACTAAACTGACTAAATTGAGTTTAAAAAAAATAATATTGCCCACTTTTTTTAAAGCCACAGAATTTACACTCTTGTTATACACTGAAGAATACTTAGACGGAAGTAATTTCTTCTGTGGTGTGAAAAGATGGAAGCATCGGACACTCAGCAGAGCATAAAAAAAACAACAAATACAAAAAATAATTTGGGTCAACAAAGAACTGAACTGTGATCACAACCTGGCAAAATCTGGATGCTAAAAAAGGATTAAAAACGAGTTTCTCTTGTGTGTGTTTCTGTCGTCATATTGCAGGGATCTCAGTCTGGAGCTCTGGAAGAGTCCCTCTGAAGCCAAATGTCATGGTAGTTTATGAAAAGCAAAAGATTTAAGATATTTCTTATGATGTTACATGACATAACCTCAGAGAGTCAGAAGAACGATTCGTTTAACAAGAGAAAAAGTTTTCCTTTTCTAAGAATGAGCTAATTTTGTAACTCCAAAGCAGCTTTTTGATCTGTTTGGAAATTTCTTTCATTTTCAGCCCGTATATGATTGGATTGAAGAGGGGGTTGTACATCACTATCTGTAAACTGATTATCAAATTTGCAGTCTTCGATAAATCCGATTCAAATAAAACCGCAAACACTTTAGATGCACCTAAGCAAGAATAGCTGATTAAAACTAACAAATGAGGCAAACAGGTCTGTGCAGCTTTTCTCCTGACCTCTTTACAACTGCGATATGATATTATTATTATCTTGGTATATGAAAAACATATTAAAATAACAGGGAGAAGAACAATATTGATCAGTATGATCATTGTCAGTATATCTAGTAATCCTAACTGCACACAGAGAAGACTGTAATGTTGGCTATCACAATAGATACTGTCCAGAGAAAATCTGCAGATTTGCTTAGAGAAATTCAGTAAAACCATCTCAAACCAGCTCATGCAAAACGCAGGTATAATCCAAGCTAAAGCCAAGAGAATACCAACAGTCCTTTTTGTCATGATCGTTGGATATTGCAGAGGTTTACATATAGACACGTATCTGTCAAAGGACATGACTGTCAGCAGTAAAAGTTCAGAAATACCTACAGAGTAAAACATGTAATGTTGAAAGAAACATGCTGAAGGTGATATGATCTGCCTTTCAGATAACAGATCGATCAAAAGCTTTGGGA